CCAGGCTGGCCTCGAACTCACAGAGATCCACCTGCCTCTGCCTCCCAAGTGCTGGGATTAAAGGCGTGGGCCACCACCGCCTGGCAACTTGCCCACTTATTAAGAAACGGAGATATTTTCAGTTGGGAGACATTCTTTTTTAGAGAGAAGATGGTTCTTTGTTCCTTGCCACAAAGCATTCACCGAGCACAATTTCATCTTTGCTGTGGGTTTTGTAGCGGAAGCACTCAGGCAGTCACCTGTGAGATGAAAGATCACCCAGCCGGAGAAGTTTTCCTTGGAAACCACAGTCTGTGTCTGTAAAGAAATGTGCTGGGGTGGGAAACCAGCAGGGGAGTGAGGCAGATCCCCATGCTTTAATGTAGAGATGTGCCATGACCTTAACGAAGTGTGTTTCCGAACACCAGGTAGCATGGGTCTGGACAGTAGGCTTTACACAGAATGGCCTGGAAGAATAAATGATAAGGTAGCAATGCTCAGGTCCGAGCTGTGGGGTTCGGAGGCACTTATGAGGGACTATGAGTTAGACAGATTCCCTGCCTAGGCAGAAAGAGGGCCCTGACTAGGTAATAAAGATGGCCGGATTCTCCCTCAGCCTCCTGACCAGAGACAAAAGCCTGGTGTCTAACATCTCCCATGGCATACTTGCCCAGCCCAAATTGAAGGTGTTGGAGGTTTTAGCCACTGTGAGCCAGATGAAGTCATCTCTAATCCCTAAAACAAACAAACAAACAAACACAAACATAAAAGCCCATTCATTACCAAAGCCAGCACAGAACACAGAACAATGATGATGTTTGTAGCCAAGCTAGCAGAGGTTTGTCCATTCACTGTTCAATGAAATTACTCCCCAAACCAGTTTATTCTGGTTTCCTCTGGGTTTCAAAAGACATCGCTCTTCATCTTCGGCTGGGGAGGGACAAGGCTCAGGAAGCCCCCACCCATCCCTGGGGAGCTCTAGGCAGTTAATGGTGGCTGGGGAGAATGAGTAGTGTTCTTCAGTGGTGTAGCCGATGGAAAGTTGCCCTCATTCAAGTGAATAACCTCCCAGCCATGCTCATGTAGGCTGCCCTGATTAAACTCAGTGGAAGATGAAGGTCAGGAGCAGGAGGGCAGGCAGGAAATAACACTGAAAGCAGGAAGGGACATGAAGGTAAGGAAGGTCTGGTGGGAGTCGGAAGTGGGAAAGGGAGGATAATGCAGGGAGAATATGACCAAAGACGTTACATATTATATATATGGAATTGTGAATGAATATATATATTGTATATATGGAATTGCAAATGAATATATATGGAATTGCAAATGAATATATATGGAATTGCAAATGAACATATCTATTATATATGGAATTACAAATGGGTATATCTATTATATTTATGGAATTGTGAATGAATATATCTATTACATATGAATTGCAAATGAATATATCTATTATATATGGAATTGTGAGTGAATATATATTATATATATGGAATTGTGAATGAATATATATATTATTTATATGGAATTGTGAATGAATGCATTTAAAATTTTTAAATATATATCAAAAAGAATGTGTCTGTTGGCTCTAAAATGTTTAACTATTGGGGGAGAATGGCTCGAGACTGTGTACAGGAGAAAATATTCATTGTGATGACTCAGTTACTTTAGACTAGTACCTTTACCTCCCTTGTTACTGACCCAATGCTCAGGGATAAAGTAGAGAGATACATCGACGATCAACTTACACATTTAGAAAGCTCAGCAGAATTGCTTTGTTGGAAACTTCCAGGTTATCAAAATAAGATTTATGGTTTAGACTGAGCTTCTGCATGAGGCCCGACAAGCTAAACCAAGATGGAGTTGCTTGTGCTCAGGCTCCATGCACCAAGACAAACCAAGCTGCTTATCTGAAGTTCCTAACTTCCCCAGGGGAACCAGAGCCAGGGCAAGAGAGCCTTGGAGAGCGAGAACTCGAGAGAAACAGAATTTTCCCTCCCCCCTGCCCCCCACCCCCAAATGGCCAGTTTTAGCTTGAGGAAGTCCCTCAGCTTCAGCTTTCCCAGTGCCACAGCAGCAGGAGGTTGCAATTCTGCACGGTTAACTGTGTAGCCTGCAGCATCTCTTGCCTACTCAGGTGAAGCCGCGATCTTATCCCAGAGGAAAGAACTTCAGGATGTCAGTACAAAGCAAAGTCAGAATTTATTAAGCAAGGGGCAGACTTGCAGAGACAGGGTGGGTGGAAAGCAAGACGTGCACCCCGCAGTAGCTACACGTGTGATTTGTAGCTTCTGAAAGTGTATCATCCTAAGGGCGTCACTTATAACTAAGTTTAAGGATCAAGCCAAGTTTTAAAGTTAAGTGAAGAATCATGAATCATCTGACTTGCTTATTTCTCTTTCTAGAGAACTTCCTTTTGTGAATTTCAAGGTGGTCATTGAAAGCACCTTGTTCAGATTTGAAAGTGCTAGCAAGACCCAAAGGTCAAAGGTCATGAGGGGAAGACACAGGCCTTGACCTCAAGCATGGCCTATCAGCTGTGTGAATACTTTTTCAAGAGATATTTCTCAGAGAGTGGAGCAGACTTCTCTGCAGGCAGTCGCGCAAGGGTTTGGTCCAGTGTGTTGAAATTTTGTGACTCTCAGCCAGTGAGACCTCAACTGGACTCTTTCTCATGTCTGCTTAATTTCCCCTGTGTGTTTGCCTCAGAAAGTGGCTTTGAAACCGCATCTTTGTGGTATGTTTCTGCTTCTCTCCGCTGTTCTGTGAAGAAAGCTGGCCTCTCTCCCACCCAGCGTCCTGAAACCTTTTCCTATACAGGAGAATTGCAGCGGAAACCCAGCTGAGGTCTCTGGGGCTGATACAGTTTTGAGTAGAAGGAAGTATTCTTTCTGTGAGGTTGAAGAGAAGCTAATTATTTCAATGACCAGCAATTCCTAAAAAAAATAAATAAATAAGATTTTGATGAAAAAGATACAAACTGAGAGGTCAGTGCTTTTCTAGCAAATTAATTCCAACGGAAGCTTCTAGAATATTACCTCTAGCTCTTTTTTTTTTTTTTAATAATCTTTGAATACCCATTAAAGTATAGGGTTAGTATCCATTCAATCAAGTTCCTATGAGCCACTCACTATGGGCTGAGCAGTCATGGGAAGCAGAGCAGAGGCCAGTCAGACATTTGCCTTATACTTGCAGAGCCCATGTATCATCAGAGAAACACGATAAGCAAGAAAAACATGAGCGTGGTTACCGTGTGAGGTGAGGATTTAGTAAGGCCAGCGGCCTGAGTGTGCTGTTTGAAAGATCAGGACGGCGTTTCAAAGAAAAGTGGCCTCTGAGCAAGGGCATGGAGGGAGGAAGGGATGGGGACATCGTGGCAGGGGTGTTGCAGCCCTGAGCAAGAAAGAGAATGCCTCATTGTTCCGAGAAAAAACAAAACAAAAAAGACCTCTCAGCCTCTGGTCCGTATTAAGATTCACTGCGGTTCTGGGGCAGTTCCACTGTTTATATAAAGTGTCATGCTATCAGTTTCACTCTTTCGGGGGCAAGTTGGGCTTTTATTCAGGACTCTGAGTCTACTATGGAGGTACTACCTCATCTGTAAGGATGGAGGATGGTCCACCAGCCACAGAAACGAAGAGGTTGTTAGGACGGGAAGCAGGAAGGAAGGGACGTAGAGTAAGAAGCATGCTCACGTCTGTTCCCATCATAGCCCTGGCTTTCCTCTGCCTGTCTATTCCGGGCTGTTTTCCTCATTTATCTCTCTTTAGTTCAGCGGGTTTCGCCAGCGAAGCCTGCCTTCCTTACCCTACCTGTGATGGAGGAGACTCCATGTGGGGACAGTTCACTCACTGCCCTCTCATTCTGTATCCAGGCAACAGAGGGGCAGCCTTGTGGAGGAGAGAGGGGTGACAGAGGAAGTTGGGCAGGGAACAAGGGCTGCCCAGGACACAGGAGGACATAAAGCACCAATATTCTGCCAGGAAAGAGTTCCCTAGCCATCGTGGACAATATCTGAGTCTTGAGTCTGCCTTGAGCGTCAAGGAAAGGGCCATCCACTTAACACACTAAGCAGCCTGCCCAGAATCACCAGGCCCTCCTCTCTTCCTTCTTCTAACTGGCTCAGGACTTGAATGTTGCTAAAATTCAAGGCTACTCTGACCAAGTCACTAAAAACTTATTACGAAAGGATAATGCTTCTCTCCTGAAACCTAGAGGTTTCAGTTCTCAGCTGACCAACAGGGGCCTCTCCAACACACACACACACACACACACACACACACACACACACACACACACACACAAACACACAAGAGAGAGGAGGAGAGGAGAGGAGAGGAGAGGGAGAGGGAGAGGGAGAGGGAGAGGGAGAGGGAGAGAGAGAGAGAGAGAGAGAGAGAGAGAGAGAGAGAGAGAGAGCGAGAGCGCAAATGCAGTAAGGCAGCTTGTTGGAAGACTCAACAGACCGCTTGAATCAGGCAATTAAACTGCCATGGAAAACTCCCCAACGTTCTTTTCTAAACTGGTAACCTGACGCTGGGAGACAGCTTTCCTAGTTACTAAGTGTCCACTAGGTTGAGCCCTGGGCAAGCCCTTGAGAACAGAGGCTGGAAACAACACACATTTGAAATTCTTCTTGTATCAAAACAAGCTGTGAGGACAGGATGCAGTTGGAGGTCACTCTCTCTCCTCTGCCTGGACCCGGGTTACCCTAGTTCACCAGGAAATTGTTTGGACCCTGAAAAAGCTCCAAATCCTTCCTTGCAGCCCCTTTGTGACCAGAAGATGGCTTCACAACCACATGCTGGGCCACACTGCTCTTGTTGTTCCCATCAGAGCACATGGGAGAACCCGTGCTCACCAGTTCCTGGTTCAGGATGAACAGGCTCCTGTGAAGACAGCCCCAGATGCCCGGCCTCCAGGGTGGGGTCCCTCTGCCTCCTGAGGCTGAGGACCTGTGGAGACAGCTGCCTGCAGAAGCCCCTGTCCCATGCCCTTTGCCATGCACACACTGCCTCTCTGTCTCTCCATGTGTGGTGAGGACACCCATGGAGAAGTAGTGACAACCTGTGAGTCCTGCTGCTTCCCAGGAGTCCCCAGGGCCTGGTAGTGTGGGAGGTAGGGAGGAGCCAGGGGTCTCCTGGCACTGACAGATGCCAGCTGCTGTGTGGGACCCCAGGGGTTTAATGGTGCCCGAAGTGGCATGACCCTCCCATAGCTTCCTGAATCATTTCCGTCTTGCTGGGTCCTGTCTTTTCCACCAGTAGGAGGAACCATGTCGTGACCACAGGATGCTAACAGAAGGAGAGTGCAGGTGGGACCAGGTGCAGGAAGAGAGCAGTGTGAGGGTCAGTGGCAAGGTGGTCACAACGCTTGGCCTGGACCCCTTGTCTTGGTTCACAGCCCTGTGCTCTTTCACGGATGCCAAGGGGAAGAGGACGTCTGCGCTTCACTCCTTAGTGGCACAGATCCAGTCCCCAGATGTGACGAGTAATGACCTCTCAACACCAGAGATTAGACATGTCCTGCTTAGATGTGACATCATAGGGACCACTATGAGGTCTTAGGTGGTCTGGACAGAGTGTAGGAACCTGTGGACTTGCCCAGTCCCTGAAGCTCTTCCTTCAACTATCCACCCTCACCATCTACAGTAAGATGTGTCTCTAGCACCCTTTGGCTGAAAATTATTATAAAATTATAGATACGCAGGACAGAAAGGTCCTTATAGAGCAGGCAGTTCCCATCAGCGCTGTGCATTAAACGCAGAGGCCGGGTTGAGTCAGCCTCCATAGCTCTGTCCACAGACCACTTTGAAGCCTGAAGATCTGAGTACAGAATGTGAATAGTTAGCAGTTAAACTGTGTAATTTAAGCTGGAATGTTCAGGGTGCCTCCTCATTCATTCTCCACCCTGCAGAGGCTTGATTAGAAACTACTGTCCATTCACCAGGTTTCCAAGTCTGTAGCCATCTGGGTGTATCTGGTTTGTGGCAGGCCCTAATGTGACAACCAAAAGACTCCGTTTAAACCATACCCCACTCTCCAGCTCTAAGGCATGCAAGGGAGGTGGATGTGTTGTAACAGGTGTAGAGAGAGGGACTACAGAAGAGACATGGATGCTCTCAATTTTGAGCCCACCAGGTGTAGATTGACACGTCCCTTACATGTCCATTTCTAGTGAAGACCATACTGTCTGTCTCTGCCTCACAATGGAGAAACCGGCACTCACTGCAGTAGGGGTCCACCCTGGGACCTCACGGCAAGCCAACTCTGATCCCCAACCCTGGCCCTGGTACCTGCGTCACATTCCTGGCCAGGACTACATGGGGTGCAGTATTCCTGTACTTCAGGAAACGAAATAGTTGATTTTTCATTTACACAAAAATGAAAAATAAATACCAGATGGTTGGAAACAGTGTAAACTCATCTTGCTGGAACTTACAAGGCCATTCGGACCGAAAAGATGTCAAGTTAGAAAATCCACAAAGCAAAAAAGATGTTTTGAATGAAAATGCACTTTGTCTCTCACACACACGCATACACACACACACAGTATCTCATTGTTTCTTCCTCAGGGAGCAGCTGTGAAGGAAATTAAGGAAGCGACAGACACAGCATCCCATCTTTGTGCCTCATACAGAGCTCAGCTTTGAGGCCAGCCTTCCTGAGCTTTGGGGGGTGTGGCATGCATGACCCTCAAAGGGGATGGCCTGATGGGGAGCTTATAAAGTGACTTGGGAGAAGCCAGGCACCAAAACAGGCACCTCACTTGGAGGCTTCTGTGTGGAAACTGTCATCATCTTAATGAGAAAAGGTAAGTGCGTAGTTGTAACTTTCACTAGGATGAATGAGTTTAAGATAGAGAATGCCTTGACTTCCCATCACCCCCTTTCAGCTCTCCCGGTAAGTATGGACAGAGGGCTTTCACACCAGCTCTGCGGGAGCCATCTCTTCTTCCTCAAGCAAACTTACAAGGTAGGTACTATTGGTACGTTTTCTGGTGACAGGCCGGAGGGTTAGGTAAGCCTGTGCTTGCCCTGATGGCTCCTCCTGTTCCCCACCCTCCCGCTACCCAAAGGAGACCATGGGAAAATTGCCCATGTGCCAAGACGGCACCGGCCGAATTCCCTAGAGTGATTCAACTGCACCTGATGGTAAGATCAACTGAAAACTGGAACTGATTGTGTGAACAGAGTACGGTACATTTGGACACAAACACATTTTGTTTAGATACGTGATTTGCTGGGTGTAGTGGGGTAACCTTTAGCCCGCACACGAGGGAAGCAAGCATCACAAACTGTAGGACGGCCTGAGTTACAGAGGACAGCCTGGACTATGTAGAAAAAAAGATAGAAAAGAAAAGGAAAGGGGGGGAACACAATTCTTGTTCGATTTTAAGGCTACATGGGTTTGTTTGTTTTTAAGGACTATTTACCCATGGAAATATTTTATTGTAACATGTGAAATCTCAGAATCTATTTCTAGAAGTAAACTCACCAAGACGATTTTCCTGTGATATTAGACAATGGGAAAATATGCACTGTAAATCATGCAACTTTTATCCAGAGCTATACATGCATGCCAATAGCATGCTCTCTCTATCAGTGTTAAGTGAATCCGAACAGAAGGGACATGGAAAATCAGCCTCTTCCCTCTCAAGGACTTTTGGCTATGGGAAGAAAACTCAAACAACCAGACGGCATCGGCACCTCTGGAAACCATGTAGTCAACGGGAGTTAGCCTTTTTCTGAATCCTCCCACAGAACTTAAGGGTATGTTTCAGCCCACACGAGAACATCTTGTAATAGGACATTTGTCAGACTTAGACATGGGGCTCACTTGTCATTGCTGCTGCATGGTGACGCAGGGCTCCTCGGGTCTCACAGGCAGGCATTCACTGAAAGGCGCAAAGTTGGACGCAGAAGGGAACATGGCCGAGAGGCTATGAGTGGAGAGCTGGCCCTGTCATTGTCCTGTTCCCTTCCCGGCCTCAGTTTCCTCATCTGCACACCTGGCGGGGGTGGGGTGGGGTGGGGTGGGTAGGTATCCTCTAAGGTCCTATCCATTTGGAAACTCAGTAGAGTGTACATACTATGTGCCACATGCAAAGTCCAGTCCTTGGGAAAACCCATTGACTTAGGCCTGTTGGGTAGAGCTTCAAAGATTCCAAGAGCCCCTGAGAAAGGGCGCAAAGTTTTCTGAGTTTAGGTTGGACTTCTACAAACACTCCACCCTCTGAAATGTTAAAACACGGCTGTAGTTTATATAGCAATGGGAAAGGGTGCCTCCAGGACTGAAGATGGTGGTCCCCTCCACAGATTTGTTCAAGAGAACTTCAGCAGCCACCCCCTCCCCAGCCCGCCCCAGCTGGCAGCTCCCACTCCTTACATAACTGTTCTTTTGAAAACCAGGCAACAAAACCTTCAGAAGAAAAAGCTATTGATTATTAAAGTTATTTGGAGGTTCAGAGACTCGTAATGAAGTGGTTATAATTATTCCTGTTATGACACATCCTTTTCAATGCTTGGATCTGAGAACATTTGGCGTACATTGACTCAGTCACCTTCATCTCGGAGAGAAAGGCAGCGAGCTGGAAATAGCTCATGTGCAGGGAGAGGCAAGGAGTCACCAAAAGGGTGCAGAGGAAAGAAAAGTCAGGGGAAAGGGGCAGAGAGGAGGCCGAAGTGTCTGTCCATAGTCTGCACTGACGGCCATCACACGCCCTGTCTATCCATGGTCCCTCCCCAGAGCCAGTTGTGACCACCAGCGGACTTCCGTATGGAACTGACGTTGCTCTCTTCCATATCAGCTGACAGGCCTTCTCTGGTTGAATGCACATCCTCTACAAAAAACGCTCTCAGTGGTCAGTGAAAACACTTGGGACATAGAATCCTGTTTCTGCCTTTCATAATAACGGTGCTAGTATTTAACTGGGCAAGGCGACACATGTCTTTAATTCCCAGCACTCACAAGGCAGGAAGATCTCTGTGAGTTCAAGACCAGCCAGGTCTACAAAGCAAGTTCCATGACAACCAGGGCTAATAGTGAGATGCTGACTCAAAAATAAATAAGTAAACAATTTTTTTCAAAGCTAATATTTACTGAGCACCTGCTTGGTGTCAGACACTACTATGAATATTCACATTCTCTCTCTCTCTCTCTCTCTCTCTCTCTCTCTCTCTCTCTCTCTCTCTCCAGGGGGTGTGTCTTTTTATGTCATTGGAGCTGGTCTTGGATTGGTGGACTCCACAGTGGTCCCACCCAAGCCTCTCTCGTAGCCCCCTTTCCCACCACACCTGGCTTTATTTTACCCCATTTTATTTTTGCAAAGATTCATGAGCTAGGCATGACTATTAGTCCCACTTGATAAACCAAGAAACAAAGGCCTAACATGCACAGTTACACTCAGTAGGTGGCAGAGGCAGAACTGGAACCCCATCTGAGTAACACTGGGTTCCCCACACGCTGCTCTTGGTCAAGGTTCCTGGACCAAGCTTGGGTTGATAGGACAGCCCAGCGAAACGTTGGCAAAGATACTGTGTGGGGGTCTGAGGGAGCATTCCCTTATGAATCTCACAGGACACTTTATGTTGTACATGATTTGGATTTGAGCTTGATTTCTTCAAGCTTGGACCTTTCAGGGCACTTCTTTGTCTAGCCCCTGTATACATATTATTTTTGTTCCAGAAACAAATACCTACCGAACCCGACATTTCCAAGATTCTGGGATGGTTCTGAGGAGAATTGGACAGGCGCCCACCCTAGAGAAATATTCAGTGAAGGGCGGGAGTGTGTGGGTTCACAGAGGAGGCTAATCCAGCAAGAGATGCTCTAAAAGAGGTGCTCGGTGCTCTGGGGTGATGGACTCACTGTGGCTGGATGGCCAAGCTGGCAGCAGCTGCAGGATGCAGCTCCTCAGTGCTGAGGAGAAAGCCAGCTGAGGGACCAGGCCTGCCCACAAGGACTCTCCATCACTGTGTGTCCTCAGGAGACCCAGACACCTCCAGCTGCATTATTTCTCCCTAGGCCTCTCCTGAAGCCACCCAGACCCAAGATGGTGACCATGCTGTTGCTCCTGGGCACACTGGCAGGCCTCTTCACTGCAGCCGAGGGACAAAGTTTCCATCTTGGGAAATGCCCAACTCCTTCAGTGCAAGAGAATTTTGACGTGCTAAAGGTGTGGTAACTCAAACCTCCCCTTTGTTTTGAGCATGCTGAGAGGTTCATTGTATTCTTTAATCTCCAAAGCAAGTCTTGGGGAAGTGTAGAGGTCTCTGCAGACACAGGCCAGCAGAGTAACAATCCGGGTGAGGCAAGAAGGAAATTCAGTTCAACACGACTTAGTAGCCAGTGTTGATTCAAACTTCAAGAGTCTGACACCAAGCAGTTTATTTTAGTCATATTTAAGTACAGAGCAACTTGGAAACATTTTTTCTTGGTGTAACACAATCCTGTGTGCATAAAGATGCATAACTACATTGAAACGTGCTCAAAGTATATGTCAGGTCTTCTATGAAGATAGGCTCTATACCTAGGCTGCATGTATTATCTTAAGGGACTAGAGGAGGATCTGGTGTAGTCTCCATCATACAGATAGCACAGAAGTCATCTAGTCTATTAGCCACCTCTGGCTCTAGTTATGGAAGCTTGCAGGGTGCCTCTGGTCGTACAGATAGTGCAAAGGTTATCTAGACTACTAATCATCTCTGATCCTGGTTGAGGGATCTTAGGAGAGTGAGGTATGATTTGGTCCTACAGACAGCACAGGGGTCACCCAGGCTATCAGCCACCTCCATTCCCCAGCCTTCTGGGTGGAAAACAGGTTACACCTCTTTTCCTTGAAGAGACAACCCTGCGTGTTTAACATTCTTGGCTTCCCTAATGCTATCTGCAAGCATAAGGACCTTTGTGCTCCCAACAGGCAAGGCACTTACCTTAATTTTGGGGTTTCCCTGAAGCAATCTCTGAGGCCAGAAAGGGGACAGGGAGAGTCTTTGGTACCTCAGCTTGCCCCCCAGATGGATGCCAACAGGCCGTAGGAACTCCCATGGCCCTGGCTGGGGAGAGCAGGGGGTGGCAAGCATGAGCTGTCAGTGTATGGGAATTGTCCCCCGCCACTGTGGGGAGGTGGGGGTGAGGGTATAATGTGAACAGGGGCACTAACTGTGGCTGTTTCACTACTATGGACCTACAGAAAGAAAAGCTGCGTGTCCTTCTCAAGTGACACAGGTAGTTAGTGCATGCCCACAGGACTCAAAACTAGGCTTCCTGTCACGTAACTCGAGACAGGACCTAGGAAAGGCCAGAAGTCCCCCAGGGGTCTTTTCTTGTTACCTACAAGACAACTGGCTCCCCATAAACGCTTCTTCTTCCTGGACTGAGGCAGAGGGAGCAGCAGAAAGGGGCAGCTATTAGATGACTGAATTCAGCGGCTCCCACGACGGTGGAAGGCCTGAATTCTAACGGTAAGGCCCTTCTCCTTAAAAGGTTTTGGTTGCTTTTAGGGAGCAGCACACTTGGTTTGAGAAACACTGAAATTATCAGTCACTGGAACTTTGGGGTGAGTGCTGGGAATGTTAGAGGGTGGGCTGGACAGAGCTGGGACGAAAGAGCTTAGGCATTAGAAGGACGGAATAAGATGGCAGAGAATGCCCACGGTAAGAGAGGAAAAGCCACGCGCTAAGGTCTGCACTGACGTTCTCCATTAAGATTTTAAGGATTCCCTTTAATTGAGTCAACCTGGAAAACCACACACACACACACACACACACACACACACACACAAACTTTATGATAATATCCAGGGAATTTGAGTCAAATTTTAGTCTGGGAGTAGAAATTCCAAAATATCCTGGAAATTATAACTGATATCTTCACTTACAGAAGTCCTTTGAGAACTGAAGCGAAATGTTTTTAAAGGATCTTTTAAAAAATGTATGTGTATATGTGTGTGCATCTGTGTGTGAATGTGCATAAGTGTGCAGGTGCCCGTGGAGAGAGAGTTGGATCCCCTGGAGCTGGAGTTACAGGCAGTTGTGAGCTGTCCCATGTGTATGATGGGACTTGAACTCCAGTCCTCTTTAAGAGCAGCAAGTGCTCTTAACTTTAGAGCCATCTCTCCAGCCCCAAAGCAGAATTATTTTAAGGCAACAATTGCATTACGATTGGTTTATATAGCATATTACTGGCGTGTTCAAAAAGGTTTTTATTTCAAGGATTTTTAATATATTCGCTGTTATGCAACCATCATTAAATCAATTTTAGAACACTTTCATTATCCTAAGAAGAAAGCCCGACCCCCCTGACAGCCTCTCTAGCTGGATTGCTTAGACTTTTCATCTCCCTGACAAATACCTGAGAGAAACAACTTGAGAGAGGGAAGATCTCTTGTGGCTCCTGGTTTCAGTGTTTTCAGGCTATGGTTCATGTGGCCCACAGGCTTATGGTGAGGCAGAACTTCATCGGATACGTAGTTCAGAAGGCTGCTTAGCTTACGGTGGCCAGTAAGCAGAGAGAGAGAGCAGCCAGACAGCAAACAAGAGCTATCTCTCCCAGGCATGTACTCAGTAACCTGCTTCCCCTAACTAGACCCCTCCCGCTTACCAACTATCAATATTACAAATCGATCAAGGGACTAATCCATTGATTAGGTCAGAGCTCTCAGCATCCAGTCACTTCCTCAAAAGTCCCACCGCTGAGATCTGCTCACATCAGGACCAAAACTCCTACTCTCGAACCTGAGGAGAAGCTTTCCATCCAAACCAGAACAATCCTTTTCTTCCCAACGCTGCCATACCCACACAACCAATACTTTACTTTCTGTCTACGGAATATACAATGCTAGCTTTTTGTGACTGAAGGAGATGTCTTCAAGGTTCACCTGTGTTGCAGCGCGCATCAACACTTCGTTCCTTGTGTTGGCAAATGATGTATGGGGTGATGCTACAGTTTATTTATCCTTATGGCTTGAGTTGTTTTACTTTTTCTGTGATAGAAATGCTGCTGCTGTGGACATTCAGGCTTGGGGACGTTTTTGAAGAGAGGGGCCTATGTTTTCAGTTCTTTGGGGTATATATGAAGTAGAATTGCTGATGTGGTAATCCGTGTTTGGCTTTTTGACAAGCTGTTGGACCGTTTTAGAAGAGTTGCACCATTGTACATCCTCACAAACAGCCTCCAGCACTGATTCCCTTACCTCTTCACCAGCAGCAGTTACCAATGCCTTCTTTTCTTATAGGTGCCGTGGGGGTATTAAGCTGTATCACCTCCGTTTCCTAAGGCCTAATGGTGTTGAGTATCTTTTCATGTACTTATGAGCCATGTGGAAATCTTCCATCCAAATCTTTTGCCCTTAAAAAAAAAAAAAAAGCTGGGCATGGTGCACTTGGGAGGCAGAGACAGGCAGATCTCTGAGTTTGAGGCCAGCCTGGTCTACAAAGTGAGTTCTAGGACAGACACGGAGAAACCCTGTCTCGAAACGCGCCCCCCAAAAGTCTTTTAATTCTTGATATCCAAATGCTCTTCCTCTGAGCTAGATGCAAATCTCTTCTGAGATATGTTAAAATTGTTTATCCCATTTGATGGAACATTTCCCTTTATCGATAGGCCCTTTGAAGCATGAGGGTTTTTTTTTTTTTAATACTGATAAAGTCCAATTTGTTCATGTTTTTGTTGTTGTTGTTGCTTGTACTTGTGGGGTCAGGCCTACAAACTTAAGTACCTAATTAGTAAGCATCTCATTAGTTCAGTAGGTAGCACTCGGTCCCTAGAGAAGCCTTGCCCAATCCAAGGCTGTAAAGATTTACTCCTGTATGTTCTTCTCAGGGTTTTGTAGTTTAAGCCTTTGATTCATTTTCAGTTACATTGTTGTCATAGAAGTATCCAATTCCATTTGCGAGACTTTTCCAGTATTTGTTAAAAAGACCAATTCTCCATTGATAGTCTTGCTATCCATAGTGAAATACATTGGTGTCATAGAAGTATCCAATTCCATTTGCGTGTCTTTCCAGTCTTTGTTAAAAAGACCAATTCTCCCTTGATAGTCTTGCTATCCATAGTGAAAATCAGTTGACTGTGGAAGTTTTATTTTCAAAACCTCAGCTCTATTCTAGCTATGTCTGCACTTACTCCAATTTTGATTACTACAGATTTGTCATAAGTTTCTAATCAAAATGCAGGAGTCCTTCAACTTTATTCTTCTAACTATTCTTTGCCCCTTGTATTTTCATGAGTTTTATGATCAGCTTGTCCATTTTTGCAGAGAATTTAATTCAATTTAAGAAAATACATAGAGTATTGCCATCTTAACACCCTCTGTTTATGAGCATAAGCTATCTTTCTATTTATGATTTTTTTTGTTTGTTTTTGTTTTTCTAGACAAGATTTTTCTGTGTAGCCCTGGCTATCCTGGAACTCGCTCTGTAGACCAGGCTGGCCTCGAACTCAAAGATCTGCCTGCCTCTGCCTCCCAAGTTCTGGGATTAAAGGTGTGTGCCACCACTGCTGGGCATCTATTTACCTCTTTGTCTTACCAATATTTTGCAGTTTTCAAAATACAAGTTCCTATATTTCTTTAGTTAAATTTATTTCTAAATATTTTCATTCTTTCTATGTTATTATAAATAGAACTTTCTTAATTTCATTGGCAGATTTTTCATCACATGTATAGAAACACTTTTGTATATTGATCTTACATCTTTATTGGTTTGTTTGTTTCGCTGGTTTTTCTGAGGCAAGCTTTCTCTATATCAGTCCTGGCTGTCCTGTAACTTGCTCTGTAGACCAGACTGGCCTCGAACTCACAGAGATCCACCTGCCTCTGCCTCCAGAGTGCTGGGATTAGAGGCGTGTGCCACCACTGCCTGACAATCTTGCATCTTTTAAATTTGCAGAACTCATTATTTCAATAGTGTGCCTGTGGATATTTTATTGTTGTTAGTTTGTATTTAAGACTCCTTAGGGAGGCTAGAAATATAGCTCACTTGTACAAAATCAAGTCTGACTACCATTACCAAGTAAATTAAGCTTGGTCACACACATCTCTAGATGAAGGCAAGAGAAACATTCAAAATCACTCAAAAGCAGTTCCCCTGGACTTTGTGTACACAGTAATAGATCATCTACAAATGAAGGTGATTTGGCTTCTTGAGTAGTTAAGGACTGTTAAAGGTATTATAAGATGGAAATGTTTCTGAGGGTGCTTATGAAACCTGTTAGCCTTGCTTTTTTGGTACTCCCGGTGAAGGTCAATAGGGTTGTTTTGTTTTTGTAGGTTTCTGTTGTTGCATTTTGTGTGTTTGTTTGAGACAGGCTGGCCTTAAACTCTCCATGTATCTGGTGCTGACACTGGATTCCTAATTTCCCACTCGGTGTACCTCCCAGGTTCTGGGATTAGAGGCCTCTGCTAAATTTCAATGTTTTTAACTGACTGTTGGGGCTTGCTAAAGGAGTTCAAAAAGTAGGTCGAAGATGTGGGTGTGCCCTTGTGCAGAGCCACGTAACTGAAGTCACGTGTCATGTGACCGAAGGCTTGTGTCACGTGACTGAAACCGTCTTGTCAGTCGTTCTCAGGTTGCTTCTGAGTGTTCGAAGGTGAATGCATGCTCTACTTGCTCTGTTGAGTGACAGATTTTTAAATTTACAGAACGATCATAATTAATATTTTGACTAGGCAAATATACACAAGCAGTTCGAAATGCTGAATGTGCAAAAGGGAGCTGGGCCCATAGCTCAGTAATAACATATCTGGCTAGTATAAAGTCTATAAAGTCTATGTTTCATTCCGTCCCCAGAACCACAGAGGGCAGGGGTGGGGAGGACACAACCAACCCAGACCCCAAGGGTCCAAAGGAGCATACGATGACGTTCCCCTTAGTTTCCTCAGTCCCCCCACCCCAGCAGCAACCAGTAAAGCCAGCCTATTGTTTTTTAGACAATGTGTACATATATAAGCGAATATGTGTAAGATTTTGGTAGCCAAAATAACAGCTTCCAGAAGTTCATGGCTTGTTTTCTAACCTGTGAACATCCTACCTCCCATGGGATAAAGGGATTCTACCGAGGTGACCTGAGATGGCCAGACTGGTTATCCAGGTGGACCCAACTTAGTCACATAATTTTTTAGAAGCAGAACACCCTTCCTAGCTGTGTTAGAGAGGTTTGATGAAGTGAGATCTCGTCAGGGAGGCACAGTGAAGGTCAGCTGAACTTGAATATGGAGGACTTCCAGGTCCAAAAAACAGGCAACCCATATAACATGGAGAAAGCAAAGATGCCCATTCTCTCTGAGCCTCCGGGAGGGGAGGAAGCCCACATCTCAGAGTCTGGCTTACAGAACCACAAGTCAATAAATCTTTGCTGGTTAGAATTTGTAGCTTGTCACCACCAAAATAGAAACCCCTTACATAAGCTTTTATTGTTCTACTAAAGGCCGTTTAAATACACCCCACCTCAAACCTGGATCTTTGATCCTTCTTCTTTAGACACCTTCAAGATAATAGCATATACCTTTTTTAAAGGGGGGCGTTTAAAGTGTCTTCAGATAGATACACCATCTATTATTTCCCCAGCCCCTCACTGGACTGTTTCCTGCCTTTTATTGTGATGGAGATACAACAGATAACCTTATACATACACACCATTTTTTTTTTTTTAAGCAGGAGATACAGTCCCAGAAGTTCAATTGCTGGGCTAAAGAGCATGTGCTTTTAGTTTTGCTCAATAGTACCAAGTTGCCCTCTGCAGAGGTTTCAGTAAACCAACACCAAGCGGCCGCTACAGCCAGCATGTCTGATTTACACCCAATTCAAAGATGCCTTGTAGAATTATCAGCTGGTGGAGGTGGAAGGTGTTTTCCAGCCACCAGATAATCCCTTCCTTTCACAGAGGCTGGAATTTCACACAGGTTTTGACTGAAGAGAACTCTGAGGACATAGCTAAATAAAGAGCCCTTGAGGAATAGAATGTGGCATACAACCAGTATCCGCACACCCATTCACTTCTTCTCATTTGAAATACGAGCTTGCCCAGCTGGCTGGGGATGATGCAGCCCATTTGGCCCGGTTTCCCCTGGAAAGGGCTCTGCTTCTAAGACGACCATGGGAGAGAGCCAGCAGGTCCCCAGAGAGCCCCCGGGGTTTTGCCCTGCTTCTTCTTGTTGTCTGTGCAGTATCTTGGAAGGTGGTATGAAATCGAGAAGATCCCATCGAACTTTGAGAGAGGGGACTGCAATCAAGCCAACTACTTGCTGATGGAGAATGGCAACATCAAAATGGTAAACCAGGAGAGGAGGTGAGCGAGCGAGGAGTGTCCTCCCGGGCCGGCCTTGTTCAGTGCTTAGGGGCGCGGGGGGGGGGGGGGGGCGCTGAGCAGGGTGGTCGGGCCTGGAGTGCATGTGTTCTCTTCTTTAACCGCTCCTGAGCACCTGCCAATACCAGATGCTGAGAGAGACAACAGTAATTCAGCCAGCACCCCTGTGGTCATCGCCAGACGGGGACTCTGGTAGCAGATGACATTAGGCTGCCTTGTCTGGCCTCCAAACCAAGAGAGAAGCCCTTTCTGGCCATTTACTCACCGAGGCCGTCAAGTTTTGTTGAACACTTCTGGGAACGTGCGGGTCATTTTATCGGGTAGCCGTTTATCCCACTTCCAGTCCGCTTCCCCGCTAGGGACCTCCCCACCCTTTTCCCTCTGTTTTCTCTTTTTCCTTCTTTTGAGTCAGGATCTTATGTAGCCCAGGCTGGTCTCCAACTCACTGTGTAGCCGAGGATGTTCTGGAATTTCGGATCCTCCTTAGCGCTGGGATTGCGAGTGTATGCCACCAAGCCTTGTTTGTGCAGTGCTAATGTTACCCCGGGGCCTTTTGTGTGCTGAGAAGCACCCTACCGAAGGAGACGCATCTCCTTTTCTTGCCAAGCCAGCATCAGATACATGTACTCTCCAGCTTATGTCAACAGGATGACTTTTAGAAGTATGGACTTCTATCACTAAGCACACTGGACATTGATATTCAATCTAAAACTCTTCGCTCTGGAGAGCAGACATGAAGAGACCCAGGATGAGGTCCTTCTTACTTACCCTCCACCAACAAACATTACATCACCAACCAATGCATTTAAGGATTTCCTGTATGCAAGGCACTCCCTCGGCCCCTGAAAATAGATTTATTTAATCCCCATGACATAGCAAAAATAGATACTGTTACAAACTTCATGGATGAGACAATTTAGGTCCAGAGAGGTTAAGCACCTTGTTCAGGGATCATACAATGAAGCTTAGGTGTGGACCCAGGAGACGGGACCCAAGAGACCAAGTGTAAAAAAGGCTGGGGGTGAAGGCGTGTTCTTTCTGTTCCTTCCAAGATCTGAGGACAGTATTCAACTCCAAGAAAACAACCACCCTCAGCCCTCAAGTACCTGGGTCCACAGAGGCTCCCTGTGTCCCCCATACCATCCACTCACTTCCCTGTGGGCCAGAGCCCAGCCAGTGACTCCCACCCTGCGTGAACCAGAAAGAGGAGGGAAGAAAAGAAGGAAGGAAGGAAGGCAGGCAGGCGCTTGAGGGCCCCTGACAGAACTCCAGCTCCTTTTGGAGCCCCAGGGGAGGGCTGCATGAAGGGCTGACGACAGGGATTGAAATGCCTTTGTCGGGAATCTCCCAGGAATTTTACAGGCTCTGTATTATTAGTCATCGGCTTCTCCTCACAGTGGAATTCCAGAGAAAAGGTTTATTTGGGCCGTAGTTCAGAAGGTTCCATCTGGAACCAAGGAGCCTTATTCCTTGAGCTTCTGGTGAAGTAGGCACAGCATGATGGGCACATGGGGTAGAAAAAAAACAATTCACCCCAGGAGGGAGGAAAGAGAAACAGGGTCCCACAGTCCTCTTTGAAGGCACACCCCCAGTGATGTAAGGATCTCTTCCCAGTCTCAACTCCATCATAAAAGCATCACCCTGGGGACCAAACCTTTACCCGGTCCTTTGGGGGGACATTTATCCAGACCATAGCAGGCAGGAGAGTTCTAATGACCTCTTTTCTTTATATTTTATTTTAGTTTTTCAAGGCAGGGTTTCTCAGTGTAGCCCTGGCTGTCCTGGAACTCACTCTGTAGACCAGGCTGGCCTCGAACTCACAGAGATCCACCTGCCTCTGCCTGCTGAGTGCTGAGATGAAAGGTGTGTGCCATCTCCACCTGGCAGTAATGACCTCTTTTGAGTGAAATATCATGTCCCATTAGGTACCAAACCCGTGAAGTCCACACGTAGGGAGCTGGGAGTCTCAGCCCGTGTTCAAGAACTTGGGGCCCAGAAGAGCTGGCCTAGAGCTGGAGGAGTGAAGGGATAAGGCTTTTGCCACTTGGCTGCCCGGTTCTAGATCTTAGGTTAGCTTGTCTGTAGCCAGCAGCAACAGAAGAACCATCCCGAGGTTGTCTGGGCATCAAAGGAGGTAAAAGGTGTAAAGCTCTTACAGCAGTGCTTGGCGTGTGGCAATCATCTGATAAACATGACCTTTTAATGGCTGAACTCCCGCCACTTGAAAACACAGATTGGAGCCAGTGGGAAGGCTCAGCAGGCAAAGGCGCCTGCCACCACGCCGAGTCCCCCACGTACCCTCTGACCTCCACACTAGTGTCATGATAGAAGTATGCGCCACAGACATTAAATAAGTGTAACGAAAATAATATTTAAAAGAAAATACAAGTGCATTTTTCCCACGAGCACGTCGCGCCTTTATGACCAGAGACTGGCGTTTGGAGAACTATTCTGGAACAAGACACAAATGGTCGTGGAGAGGAGAAGAGCCTGGTTTGTTGCTAAGTTACCATTTGCAGATGTAAACAAACCGTCTTCTAGGGGAGACAGCAGGGCCTGGTGCCTGGCCCTACATGGTGACAGGCAATGCAGCCAGGAATTAGGAGAGTACCTTTCCCGACCTCCCTTACCTGCAGCTTAGTTTCAGAGCAGTATCCCTGTAAGAGGATTTTTCTGTCCCTCCTGCCAGCTCCCAAATCACGACATGGAGACTTATTATTATGAAAGCTTAGCCGATAGCTTAGGCTTGTTTTTAACTAGCTCTTACAACTTGAATTAACCCATGTTTTTAGAGATGTTTTAATCCACATTCTACCATGTGACTTTTACCTCTCTCCCATTTTGTGTGTCTGACCAGTTCAGCCTCTGGCTGGCTTCTCTGCCCTTCTTCTTCTTCCTGGCGTCCTCTGTGCCTGGAAATCCTGCCTAGCTATTGGCTGTTTGGCTTTTCTTTAAACCAGTCTGAGTGATGCATATTCACACAGTGCAAAAAGATTATCCCACAACATGTCCCTCACTGCGAACCATAGCGCTAACCTCCTGACTTCCTCACACATACTTAGCTCTCACGGTTGCCCTGCTTGAGGACTGACAGGCAGGCAGCCCCTTTGCCCTCTCCCGAAGAGGAACAGTCATGTCTAGGTACCCCCCCCCCTTCTCTGGCCTCTTCCCCAAGGCTTTGCCCTGGCCTCTGGGTTCATGAGGTCATTAGGAGTTAGTCTGAAATGGGCCAGGTCCTTGGGAAGGGTCCGAGTACTTCCTTGGTTCCGAGTCCAGCACATTTAAAATACGCCACCATTTTATATACCACTAAGAAAGAATGGGGACCAATTATAAGATGTGTGTTTTTCCACAATCATGTCTCTGAGAATGGGACTTGTCTCGGAAGCATAATGGCCAGGTCTCCTCCTTGCCTCTGTGACAACCGGCCCTGTTTCAAAATCTCCCATGCTCACTTGGACACTAGCTGAACTGGAGGGGTTTTCAGACCTCAGGCCTCTCGATGGGACGAATCCGTAAGATGTCCCTGCATTTGTCCCCCCAACACAGGGGTGATGGGAAGTGCCTCCAGACCCCTTCCCGCTTTGCATTGTTTTCGGTGATCTAGCTCCTCCTTCCTCCGTTTCTTTCTTCATCATCCTCTCCTCTGTAAAGAGATGAGTCTCGTAGGGGGTTGTTCCCTCTATTTTCTCATCCCCCTTTATTCCCTCTCTTTGAAGCCTGGGAGCAGAAAGTGCCTGAAAGGCAAATGGCAAACATAAAAAAACAGTGTGGAAATGCAAGGGCCTAGCGTAGAACCCACCCCACCCCCGAGGGGGGCGGCATTGCCAAAGTGGCTGCTCGTTCACAAACGCCATCTTCCTCCACTGAATCTCAGACAGTCACAGAGGGAAGGGCAGGGTCCAGAACCAGGTCTGGCTGGCCTTTCAAGAGCCTCTCATTGCCGGGC